CTTATATAATAATAATAATAATAATAATAATAATAATAATAATAATAATAATAATAATAATAATAATAATAATAATAATAATAATAATAAGACTAATAATTAGTCACGGTAAATATTAGACTAAAATCTAGTGGTAATAATACTAGGTTTCGTCGAAGGAAATTATTTTAAAGTAAACGAAGCGATGTCCGAGTACCGAGTCACCACCTTATCAAGTAAGTGCATACTCCCTTTCATGAGCATGATTTTATTACAAGTATTGATTGAAGTATTAATTATATGTTTATGTGCGAGTTAATTGATGTTGCCTGAAATACGTGTTAAAGAACATGCCTGATTATATATGATGATTTAGGATAAAGAGTAAACCTAAATTAATTATGAGGAATATTGGGTAGTATTTTCTTACGAGTACGAGTGAGTTATACTCAGAGAAGAGAACTTTAGTATATGTCATTGATCCGGGAGCATGGATTAGACATAGTCATTGTCCCTAGTCCGAGAGTATGGATTGGACATAGTCAACTGTCATTAATCCGGGAGTATGGATTAAGACATAGTCAGTTCTCCTTAGTCCGGGAGTATGGATTAAGACATAGTCAGTTGTCCTTAGTCCGGGAGTATGGATTAAGACATAGTCAGTCGTCCTCAGTCCGGGAGTATGGATAGGACATAGTCATTCGTCGTTAATCCGGGAGAATGGATTTACACATAGACACTTGTCCCTAAACCGAGAGTATGGAATGGGCACAATTATTGATCCGAGAGCATGAATTATATCCAAGAGTATGGGTTAAGTGACAGGTAAAATTCAAGGTCCGAGAGTATGGATAGTCTCGTTGTAAGGATTAACGGGTTGGGGTAAGAGTTGCTTATATATATATGGTGAAATTGTATATTTTGTGAGTTCTAAATATGATATAACATTATGGGATTGAAATCCCTGTGTACTCACCAGGTTTCCCAACCTGACCCACTCAAGCTTATTTGTATCACAGGTGTCGATACGAAGTTACATTATACTGAGAGATTAAAGAGATGTAGATCACTAGTGTAAATGAATGCAAAATCTGTTTATGCTTATGTTTCTGTATTGACGATGACATCCCAAATGTTTTAAAATGAATAAAAATACATTTCTTCGGAAATGTTTTGATAACGTATTTATCATGTTTTACTGAGAACAAATTCCGCAACATTTTCACTAAAATAGGTACTCTGATTTTTATAAAGCATAAACAAAATCGGTCTTTCCTGACCGTGAAAATGGGGATGTCACAATTTAATTACATGTGATTATACGTATTTAATCACTTATGATTAATGTGGACATAAATTTGTTTTAATGTTCTTGATTCAATGGTTTTTCTCGTGTATATAATTACATGTGACTATATATATTTCATCACATATCATTTATTGAATCAAGAACGTGAAAACAAATCTTTTTCACATAAATCGTATATGATTAAATACACGAGACCAACTATTGAATTAAAAACACAAAAATGAATTGTGTCCACAAAAATCATATGTGATTAAATACATATAATCACATGTGATTATATGTACCTAATTACATATGATTTATGTGGAAAAGATTCATTATTTCTTTCTCAATTCAATAGTTGTACTCATATACTTAATCACATGTGATTATATGTATCAAATCACATATGATTTATATTGATAATATTAGTTTTCGCATTTTTTATTCAATATTTTTTCTTAGGTATTTAATCGTATGTGATTGTATGTATTTAATCACATATGATTAATGTGGAAAAAGAAAAACTATTGAATCAAAAACGCGAAAATGAATCTTATGTACAGAAATCATATGTGACTAAATGTACAAGAACAACTATTGAACGAGAATGTGAAAATGAATATTGTCCATATAAATCATATCTTATTAGATACATATAATCTCATGTAATTAAATACACAAGAACAACAACTGAATCAAGAACGCGAAAATGAATATTTTTCACATAAATTCTAGGTGATTAGATACATATAATCACATGTGATTATATGCTTTTAATCACATATGATATATGTGGACAATATTTATCTTTGTGTTCTCAATTCAATAGTTGTTCTCGTGTATATAATCATATGTGATTATATGTATCTAATCACATATGATTTATATAGACATCATTATTTTTTGTCCATATAAATCATATGTGATTAGATACATATAATCACATGTGATTATATGTATTTAATCACATATGATTATAGTTAACAAAGAACAATTACTAAATCGAGAATGTGACAATGAATCTTATCCACATATTTCATATATGATTGGATACATATAATCACATGTGATTATATGTATTTAATCAGATATGATTTATGTAGACAATATTTATTTTTGCGGTTTCGATTGAATAAGTGATTTTGTGTATTTAATCACATGTGATTATATGTATATAATCACATATGATTTGAGGTGGACAAGATTCATTTTTTTCCTTTTCGATTCAATAGTTGTGCTCATGTATTTAATCACATACAATTATATATATAATCACATGTGATAAAATACATGAGAACAACTATTGAATCGACAAAGCAAAAATGAATTGTCTCAACATAAATCATATGTGATTAGATTCATATAATCACATGTGATTAGATTTATTTAATCACATATGATTAATGTGGAAAAAGAAAAACTATTGAATCGAAAACACGAAAATTAATCTTGTGTACATAAATCATATGTGACTAATTGTAAAAGAACAACGATTTAACGATATTCTGAAAACGAATATTGTTCATATAAATCATATCTGGTTAGATACATATAATCTCATGTAATTAATACACAAGAACAATAACTGAATCAAGAACGTCAAAATGAATAATTTCCATATAAATTCTATATGATTAGATACATATAATCACATGTGATTATATGTATTTAATCACATATGATATATGTGGACAATATTTATCTTTCTGTTCTCGATTCAATAGTTGTGGACAATATTAGCTAGCTTGAGCTAGATGGATCATTTCCTTTCCGAGAACCTACACAACAATTATAACATTATTTAGCTTGTGCTTTGTTGTATTACTCTTATTAAACTTATGTACACATTTTCTTATTTTCTCTTTGATTGTAGTGCTCTGTTTGGGATCTGTTTTCTTACCTTTCAACCCATTCTTAAATTTCAATAAAATAATATTGGTAAAGTACCCCCTTTTATCTATTCATAAATATAAATATCTCGTTCTAACGATTTTTGGTTGATTTTATATTAAATTTACAAGTTAGTAACTTTAAGCTGTCACTTTATGAACCACTCAACACTCTTGGAATAAATTGTACCAATCTACTACGAATTACATCAGTTACTTTATATGTGGGAAACTATACATCCATATATAACTATAGGCTTTAGAATTTTAGCATTTGAAGTTCTGATGAATTTATTATGATTTTTTGAAGACAATGCATGAAATCTATGACAGCATGGACCAGCCTGAGAAGATTGCCAATTTTACCCCTCAAGAAGTTGGAATTTCGAAATGTGATTCAAAGTTTGAAGAAACTAGACACACTAAGATTTCCAGAAAACTAAGTCTCATGATTTTTAGATGTTCTTATTGACCTGCACGGATTTTAGAAGTTGGAGAACAAATTTGGGAAAATTGATCATAATAGCTTCTAAATCACTTTTGGTGTTCTATTAAGTAATTAATGTTTAAGCCTTTAAGTTTATCACTTTTAACATGATTTTTGGTTACTTATTAAGCTATAGAGACGTGAAATTTAATTTAAACTAAGGGCCTTAATGCTTGGCTTAATGAGGGTTCAAAGTTAAGGATTTTCACATAAAGTGTCACTTTCATACTTATTAGGTTCTTTCAGACAATATGACAAACACCTGGTGTACATGAAATCCTACAGTGACTATGAACTCTCTAATAGACTCCAATTCAGCCCCTAGAGCTTACAATTTTCAATAAAAACAATCCAACTGTACATATAATTCCTCACAAAAGCAAGCAAGTTCGTAATTCATCAACAACAGGAAAACATAAGGGAATTTTTCAAGTAGAACGTCTTCTATGATGTGAAATCAAGTATTAGACATCGATTAGTCATTCATTATAAGTTTAATTTCATGAATTTCGTGAGAAATCGAGTCAATTTAGGTTGAAAAAACGCAGGTGTATAGACTGAAAAATTACTATCTAGAAGCTCTCATAGACCGTCTTTGTAGAGATCAACTTCACTGTCAATTGGGACTTACGGAGAGAGATAGTTAACGATGAGCCTAGTCAATGGTGATGTTGGTTCAAATTACCCAAAAAGATGTGTAGAGAGAGAAAGATATGTAAAGAGAGAAACGGGAGAGAAAGATATGTAGAGAGAGAAATAGAATAGAGATATGTAGAGAGAGAAAGATATGTAGAGAAAGAAATAGGAGATAGATACATAGAGAGAGAAATATGAGAGAGATATATATAGAGAGAGAGAGAAATAAGAGAGAGAATGTCTATAAAAATAAAAATAAAGTTCTAATTATGTTTTAATAAAATTAAATTATTTTTTTATCATATCATTAAAATTTCAACATTTAAAAATTAGTAGTTAAAATTTGTTTTCAAATGTTCTCGCAATAAGAAATGTTCTCGATTGAACATATATATATATATATATATATATATATATATATATATATATATGAGATAGTTTCAGGTGTTTAAAGTTTTTATTGGGTTATTGTATGCATAAATGTGGGCCAATCAAAATTAAATAATTAAATAAATAAATAAGGGTAATAAAGTAATTTTGTAAATAACTTCCACAAATACTTCCTATAATTATGTTAGTTATTTTGACTTTGACCTAATTTCTTCTCATTCTTATATACAGCGTTCACTATCAAAAACCCTATTCCACCATAAAAATCTTCCATCGACGACCACCCCCTCGATTTACAACAACGCCTCACCACTTCCACCGATCCCCATCAACAATCTTCTTTGTACCCAAGATCATCATCGCCATCGTTCATAATTTCGAAGAATAGAGGAAGGTCGGAGCTGGCTTCCATTGTCGACTGAATTGTTGCACGCTGCTGTTCTTCACGATCTTCTTCCTTCTTCAATCTTCATTCTTAGTTAAGGTTTCTCCATTCCTAAAATCTTCAGCCATTTTTCCACACACCCCCATTCTTCCAAGCATATCACACACTCACCCCCTAAACTCTCTATTTCATCCGTACCTTTTATCTCCACAGTCGGCATGGCGTCGATCGACGTTTGAGGCACCGGTGGCTGGCCGTCCTTCCTCATCAGATCGTTCATCAGGGATTCGACGTTTGAGGCACCGGTGGCTGGCCCACATTTTTTACTTTCACTATAAACTTCAATGATGTTTTGCAATAAAAAGATATATAATTTATATTTTTCATTCCATAATTTAACTCAATACAATGGTATTCTATTAAAACAAACTTAAGAGAAAATGAAACTGCATTTGTTTTGTTTAAAACTATGTCATTTAAAAGGTTTTATACCTAAGTTTACATACATAACAGCCACATATTCACTTTTATATATATATATATATATATATATATATATATATATATATATATATATATATATATATATATAATACCACCGTAACAAAAAAATAAAAAAAAATGTAACAAATTAGTCTAATGAGAACTTTATCAACTTTGACTTTTTAGGCTTATTACATTCTATTTTTTAGCATATTGGAAGATAAAATACAAAATGACATACTAAAGTATAAATATTTAAAGATTTATTTTAGTCTAATGAGAACTTTATCAACTTTGACTTTTTAGGCTTATTACATTCTATTTTTTAGCATATTGGAAGATAAAATACAAAATGACATCCTAAAGTATAAATATTTAAAGATTTATTTTATCTTTTAACAAGAATATGAAAGATTATTACATTCTATTTTTTAGCATATTGGAAGATAAAATACAAAATGACATCCTAAAGTATAAATATTTAAAGATTTATTTTATCTTTTAACAAGAATACGAAAGAGTGAAATAGGAAAAACGGCCCAACAATAATATTTTAGGGTTATTGACATAAAACCACAAAAAAGTATCACATTTGGGTTTAATGGGTCACTAAACTTTTTTTTACACCTCTCTCTTAGACCATTAAAATCAAAATTAAATGTCAATTATATCATTTTCAGACCTATGAAGCAGTCAATCGGTTACTTGGGTCAAGTGGACATTAACTGATGTTTAACTCTTGTTAAATGATATGTAATCGGGTCAAGTGGACATTAACTTATGTTTAATTCTTGTTAAATGACATTTAACCAATCAATGTGTACATAGATTGTTCAAAAAGAGTAAGGATGATATCGTCTGACAATCCGGTTTTGTGGATATATATATATATATATATACACACTAGCCGTTTACCCGCACTAAGCGACGGGTGCAGATAATTTCTGAACGCTAATTTCTTTCAGAAATAATGATAATTAAATAAAGATGTGGGAGGACATTATATAATAAAATATAAGAAATGGAATCAAAATTCTTTGCTTTTAACAAAGAATGACCAACTCATCCGAACATACAATTTAATGAAATTTAAAGAATTAACATTCTTTTGATTTTTCAAAATAAACATAAATTTTACTGAAATTTATATTCCAATACTTTCAAATTTCTTTGAAATCCACGAGCCAAACACTCTATGATTCAAGTAAGATTCAATCAACTTTCATGATCAAGGGGTCTCTAAGGGTGTGGCAATGGAGCCGATCCAAGTTGATGCAATGTCAAGCGGCTCAACTTGGCTCGATTATATATTAAATATAATATAAAAAGTAAAAATACTACTTTCATAATTCAGTTTTATATAAATTGCATATAAAAAAGCATTACAATACAAATAAGCTTAATCCATTATATTAAAAAATAAATATTGATACAAACAAAATTAGAATGTATTATACTATGAAAATTTTCAACCCAATAGTTGGCCAATATCTAATAAAAAACATGGAAGGATTACAACTATTAACCTGATGCACGACAATAAAACCAAAGTATATTTTCGTTTAAATTTATGAGAATCTGTTTTCAACTATTAAAATTTTTTAGACATATGACAAATAGTTTTCTTTATGGGTGAGCACTATTGGGCCTGATTCCGACTATATTAAATATTAAATATTAAATTCATAAATACCATTCGCAACAGTCATATTATAATTTAAACGTTTTTTTTACTTTTTATTATATGCATTACAACGTTATCATATTTCAGTCTTTAAATAAAAAAACTAACATAGTTATCTATATAACTTCCGGTATTATAATATAATTATCTCTTTAAATGTTACTATGAAGTAATATCCTTTTAGAAAATTTATGGAGTGGGCTTGGAAAAAAACAAATTAGTTTGGAACAAAATATCCAACTTTATTTTAAATGGATTCCAAATTTTAGCTGAAGCTTATTCCCCTGAAAATAATCAAAAAATCAAAATCTCAAAAATAGAAATCAGTTAACAAACAAAAAACATTTACACTATATAATTTATAAGCATCACAGTTTAAACAAAAGTAAATGACAATTTTTAAATAAGGAACCATAAATGTCACCCATAGTCATGTGATTATGTGAATAATGTAGGAAGTGTATTTGAAAATATTACAATTTTTATGAGAAATAGGGAAATATAAGATAATATTATATCATACCTTCAAAAAGATAGTCTATAGGAGGGTATTTACATGATCAAGCCAATTCATAACATTTTGAAAATCCATTAGTTATTCCTGTAATGAGGATCTGAACCGGAATAAGGATAGCCAATGTTGTAAAAGGGCTTATGGTTTTAATCTCATACAATGGCTAACTCCAAAATTCCAAATGAAAGCTTACTTTTTTTATGGGTAAATACATTAAAATGATGTAAGTTGCTACCACGCAAGTAATAGCAATGGACAATAATTTTGAAATACAAAACAAAAATGTAAGTAGATTGCTATTTTTGTTGTAATGGAAAGAAATGAAAGAATGGTGCTTAATGCAAGAAATATCATGTTCCAAATTAGAAACTAAACTTTTTAAAAGTAAATTCAAAAATATAAACTATATTGTCTCATGTGCTTTATTTTAAAATTAAAGTACATTACTTGTAGTTGCATTTTTCAAAAACAGATGGTGTGCATAATAGATTAAACAGATAGCTTTCTAATAGAAATACAATGAAAGTAAATGTCCCTAGTAACACAATTAAAAGAAACTACATCAATAGAATGCATGCTCCTTGTTCATCCCATTATGCTTTTGGACTACCTTGACCAGTTCGAAGGTTTGGTTATGTTCAATAAGATAAAGAACCATAATTTACACCATCAGACATCCCCTCTGACTCTTAGTTAGGGGCAATCTATTTATATAAGATAACATAAATTTTCTATTGAAACAACCAGCGAAAGATAAGATAACATAAAATTATGTAAAACTGAAACCATATAACAAATGATGTGGCTCTATATGGTTGTTATAGATTTATACATTTTCATAAATTACAGAACATGATTACCTAAACAATGTCTGAGCATGTGTAGCAATTTCTTTTTTAACTTTTCAAGCTGCTTCAAGTGGATCTTCAGATGGAATGTGCTCTCTTTGCTACAAGATATTATCACGATGTGGTTAGATATTAAGCAATTTCATGGAAAAATGATGTTCATTTAAAGACCAAGAAAACCATTGGAATAACTAAACAATATAAATGAAAAACAGAGGAACATAAAAACTCAAAAATAGTTGAAATGAACACAAACAAACATAAGGATCATAAACCATTTTAACATACCTTAATAAGTAATTCTTCTCAAGCGTCCCTCTTTCAAGCATCTCAAATACGATCTTCAGTATGCCAACATCCACTATGCCTCTCCAAGCACTCATTTGTTTCCAAATCTGAGAAAAAAAAATCAAATTAAGAACTTGTTTTTCCCATTAACTATTATACACACACATATAAACACAGATACATACAAAGATACACAAACAGATAGACACATACATACATACACATATACAACATCTACAAACTTTATAACCACATAAGTGAAATAAAAAATAATCTTCTTTTCAGACATAAATGATTTTTTGTAAATCAGTTAACCATCAAAAATAGCTAAATAATGCATATCTTTGACAAACCCAAGACAAATAATTTGTTTGCTAAAACTAAATGTTAAACATGGCAGAATTGAGAATCCTTAATAGCCCTTACAATGTTGAGAATGATGTTGAAAGAATAGGATCTTCCACCTCTTTAGTCCTTCATCAATTTCATTGGTCATTAACAGTCATTTGGGTGGCTGAAACAAAATGTTAAACAATAATAAGTATAAACTTTAGCAAATCTATATGTTATATGCTTGTTAATTAAGCCAAAGTATAACTTTTATTGCAATCTTTCCATAACTTGCATCAGCAGTCAAACCCCTAAAAAGCAAAAATCTTTCAAACAAACAAAATTTCAAGTTAGAAAAGCTTTCTGATGTTTATGTAGTGTTTCATAAGACAACATCCAGCAAAAATGATCACAGATAAAAATTACTTTTGGGAGTACCTGACAGAGAGGGGTTTGTCTAAAAACAAATTAAATCGAGATTTTCATTTCTTCCTGCTCTTCTGATTTTATACTGTAGCAAAAGAAACCTGCAAAAGAAAAGGTAACAACGAAATGTCACCTTTTATCATTAATAAAAAAGCCCACGTTCTTGATCCAGGTTTCGGGTCTCCATCAGCCTTCATATTTCCCATCTATGTGTTTCTCTGTATCTCCTTCGATTTTTCTCAGATCTTGAAGTTGACAACAAACAATACCAAGTTTATTGGTGGTGGTAAAGTTCTCGTGGTGAATGAGGAAAAGAGTGGCGATGGATGGTGCTGACGGAGCACGGTGTTGACGGGATTCTGGAAACAAAGAAAGTGACAAAGTTGAGGCTAAGGTTTCTGTTGGTGAAGTAGCGATGAGGTGGGTGTGTGGTTGGAAGATATTCTCGCGGTGATATTGGTGGTAGAAGGTAGTGTGATGGCATTGGTAAGAAGTATTTAAATCTAGTTGAAGGCGACGTTTAGGGTTTCTCTTAGAGGGAAGAAGAGAGATTGAGGAAGGCGTTGAAAGAGCGTGGAGATGAAGGCGATGAAGTTCAAGTGCTCAACAGAAAGACGCCAGATATAAGGGAGACTGGCCAGATTCCTCGTATATTGGCCAAGATCTCGGATTCAACAGACTGGTCAAACGCATTCTATGCGGGGCTTTCAGAAAAATTTGAATCGAATGACCCATTCTCAACCTTTGACTTTTTGACTTTATTGACCAAATGAGATTGGAATGCATAAATTAATTGTACATATAACATTATTATTTGTACCTCTTAAAATTCAGCAAAACATGCTAAATGCTTATTAAGGTATATATATATATATATATATATATATATATATATATATATATATATATATAGAGAGAGAGAGAGAGGGTAATCTCCAACAAGAAGGCAGGCAGATGGTTAGCTAGAAAGAGGGATCGAGAATGGATGAAAGGAAAATTGGTTGATGGAGTTATTGCAAGTTTTTGGTAGAGGTTTCATTAAGAGGTACAACTCTCATGTCTGACCTGCTTGAAGGGAAAACAAAAACTCTAATGTAATTAGAGTGGTGATGAAGATAAAGTTGAAGAGAGCATCTCCGACTAGTATTAGATCTCCGGTGAAGCAGCAACAAGATAGATAGATTTATCTCAAAAAGCTTTATGACTCATCTCCAATACAAATGTGTTTGTGTGTGTTTCACAATTTACGAATAAAGGAAGAGAGCTTCGGTAAGATAACAATAAGGCAGCATCTTATATGGTCGAATATGTTCTAGATTTGGATGGTAGTGGGGGCAGGAGATGGTCGTGGTGAGTTGGTTACCTATCATTTAACAAGTGTCAAATATAAGTCAATGAAGTAGCCAGGTAACTGCTTCACAAATCTAAAAGAGTAAAAAGGGTATAATTCATATGTAAATTTTGATTTTAATGGTCCAAGAGGTGCAAAGGACTAATTAAACCCAAATGACACTTTTTTGTGCTTTTATCTTAATAACCCTAATATTTATGGAAAACTAAAAGTGGTTAATGGAATTCATCCATATATATCATCATATTCTGAAAGTCTACAAATAAGCATATTTCATGTATGCAACATCATCATCATCATCATCATCATCTTATCAAGAATACACTCTCACAATTTATAAATCAAAAGAATAAATTGAACATGGATATATAACTATAGATATCATATGTAAGCAAGTAACTAAAACTACACAAACAAACGAACAAACAAGCCAAAATCCTTGCTTTAGTATCTTGGAATTTGTCTTGAGAATCTACTTGGATTGTTGTCTGGTGATGCGAGAGGAACTGTTGAAAACTCGGAATTACGTGAAGTGTGGTTTGCGGGAATTGGATTACTACTACTAATTCCAATTCCAATTCCATCAACATTGTTTTGAGAGGAGGAGGAGGATGAGGATTCTCTCTTTTCCCTTTCTTCACCTTCTTTTAATAGAAAATCAACCCACATATCCGCAAACGACTGAAAAACATACAAAAAACTTACAATTACTCCATAACCATAACAACACCTACTTTACTCTTGCTATCTATATAAGCAATGTACTTTATCTTTTACCCATAATAGCAACATACTTGTATTTTTCTTTTTTACTTGTTAATAGAAATGTTTAACATACTCTATATAAATTATAAAGAGTAAAGACTAAATGACCATTTTACCCTTCAAATTAGAAGTGAAGCACAATAACAAATGACTGTTTATTTTAATAAGTGTTATAAATTGAAATTATAAACCACTGTTTATTTATTTGTCCGGAGTAAGTGTTGTACACAGAAATTATTTCTTGATTGGACCGAATGAATGTGAGCAAAATGAAATGACCATTTTACCCTTCTGTTTAAAAATAATGTTGAATTAAAAATGACTGTTCATTTAAGAGCTGTTATAAACTGAAGGGTGTTTATTTGAATTAATATAAATAATGCTACAAAATTAAACGGAACACAATATTTAACCAAAAAGAAAAGAAAAAGGGCAAAATGAGTGGATAGAATTACCTGATTATCTGATGCCATGTTGGCAGAAGTATCGGATGAGGCCCCACTTAACATGCCACCAACTAGACGACCTGGTAGACCAAAAACACCACGGACAACACTTTTGCCTGCTGCTCCTTGCTGAGCGACCCCGATCCTCTGTTTCTCATCCTCAGAGAATCCTAGCATGCGTACCATAAGATCCAGAACCTAAAACCACCCACACAACATATATACATATGAAAAATGAATAAACCATGTTCATGAATGGAATGGAATGAGTCATTACATTCCATCATCATGTTTGGTGGACAGTGGACTTCCACTTGTAGGAATGGAATGGACTTTTGATCTTTGATGTTATATGCAGATAAACTCCACACTATACACTAGTTTAATTATAAAAAAACTAGTATTATTTACAAAATAAACATGATAAAAGCTCGTAAAAACCAAAATAAGAATAATAATATTTTAGTTATTTGTAAAAAATGAACTTGCAACCAAAAGGTCAATTTACAAAATAAAATAATAAATTATGTTTTGGGAACTTATGTGGTTTGGTTTAACCACCAATACTTTATTTTCTCCAATCAAACCATCAACGTTTCACACATTTTTCCAAATTAACCATTGTTACATCGGGTTTCAACAGTAATTTTCAAATTAACCATTTTGTCTAAGTGATATCAGGTTAAAATTGTTAATTTGGAAAATTGTGTTTATGTTTTGGTTGGAAAAAATAGTGTATAAGTGGTTAAACTGCAAAATTGTTCAAAATATAACAGATTTTAAAAATATATATATATTCCCTAAAAATTACATACATAAAAAAGGAGTATCTTGCACCTTTTACTCCATTCCATGAAGGAATGTGAAAAAAATAATAATAAAGAATAAGGAATAAAAGTTAACTATATTGAAGGGATCATATTCCATTATGGATTATGCTAAAACAAAGAGGTTCTTTTTTTCATTCCAATGGAATGAAAGATTCCATTCCTTCAAATCAAACATTACCCAAGAGAGATTTTCCATACCTCTTTACTATGGTTCCTCTGAAAGTAAGTCACCAACAATTTGATCACAATCCGCCTGCAGTCAACACACAAAGTCATTCATATAAATACAATATATATATATATATATATATATATATATATATATATATATATTTAACGAATTATACTTGTGAAAGAAAATGAATAAAAAATAATAATAATAATAATGACCTGTCAACAGAAAAATCAGAGTCCATTGACATTCTGTTAAGTCTTGTCATGCTTTGTTCAAGAGCACGGCGTAGTTTGCTGTTATCTTCTTCTAATTTATTCACTCTCCCTTTTCCTTCTGCTAAGACTCTTTCAGCATGTGAGAGTTTTTCCATTATTTCCTCCTTTTCCTGCTTTGTTGTCTCCACTTGTTCATACGCCTCCTGGTAATTACATTCAACCAATAACATTATGTACACAATGAGAGATAAAACCAAGACTAAAATTACAAATTTACTCCATGTATAATGTATTGTGGTGTACTCAAATCACAGGTTTAGTCCAAGTTGTGTTTCTGTTACGAATTTGCCCTTGTGGTTTTAGCTTTGTTGTACCTCCAGCTGGACGTTCAGAATGTGCATCCCACTCGGGGGCAAAAAGGTCATTTTGTCACTCTCTCCTACATCTATTACTTGATATAGTGTAGATGGGAGAGGGAGTGTTTTTTAAAATGACCTTTTCGCCCTTGTATAGGATGCACTTGGCACTTTTTTTAATGACATAAGTTGGAGAGACCACATCCGCAAGAAAATGAAACCACCAGCAAATTTGTAATAGAAATGGAACTTGGACTAAACATGTGATTTTTTAGTACATCACAGGGAACAGATTTATAATTTACAAATTTGGTCCCTCCCTGTGGTATACAAAAATCACATGTTTAGTCCAAGTTCCGTTTTTGTTACTTCTTCGTGGTTTCATTTTATTGCGGATATGGTCCCTCTAACTAATGTCGTTCAAACCTGTCACATGCATCACACATGAGTGGTAAAGTCATAAAATGACATTTTTGCCCTCGTGTGCGACACATGTAACGGTCGGTTAGAGGGGGACCAAATCGGCTATAAAATGAAACCACGAGGACAAATTTGAAGCAAAAGCGAAACTTGGGCTAAATCTGTGATTTTGAGTATACCACAGGGACCAAATTTGTAACCTACTCTAATACCAACCTTTAAACGCTCAGAAAGTTTAGCAGATTCTTCTCTTGCAGAAGCCAATTCCCTTTCCAAATGTTCCTGATCATATGCAAGTAGAAACGATAAACACAAATTCATAACACGTGACACCAATTAAAAGAAAAAGAAAATAGAATACTAAATTACCTTAGCTTCTATTTCAGCATAATACTGACCAAGGGCAGTTTGGAGATTTAACAGTTCGATATTTTTCGCATCTATTTTTTTATTTAAATCATTAATGATTTCCCTGGACTTCAAAAGTTCGTTGCTATTTATCATCTTAACCTCTTCTGCCTGATTCAAAGATCTCTCCAATTGTCTTATTTGAGCTCTTAAACTTTCATTGTTTTCTCGTAGCCCTTCGATTATCTTGCTGTCTTCATCCATTTTTTCTGAATCTTCAGACTCCTAAACAAAATTAAACAGTCATCCAGTGAGTATAATCTGTAGATTGTTTTTTAAATTTTTTTGAGTAAATTACATTTTGGTCCCCGAGTATAGCTGATTTTTCCAATTTTGGTCGCAAAAATAGTCATTTTACTTGTAACAGCTAACAGGGACCAAAAACATTATAAAAACTGAAAATAAGGACCAAAACTGCAAGAGATAACTTTCAGGAACCAAAAGAAAATGTAATTTACTCAAAACTTTTATTAGATTTAAGATTTAAAGAAAATAAAAAATGAAAACCTTTTCCAGTAAATGTTGTTTAAGCCGATTTAGTTGTTGTAATGCTTTGTCCCTTTCATTTGATGTTTCTTTCAGATCTTTTTCCAGTTTCTGCAAAGAGGACTCCATTTCTTCTTTGCCAGGAAAACTTCCTGATACCTGAAGCATTAAAAAAACATGTTGTATAAAAGTGTAGAATGTAGGTCCCGCGTAAATAAATAAATAAATAAAATTCAAGAGTAAATTACAGAAATGGTCCTTATGATTTCTGTTTTTTAGACTAAAACTGAAATAGTTTTCAATTTTGGTCCTTGTTTCAAGGCTTCATATCGATTTTGGACTTAAAAACTTCAAACAAACAAGAACCATAATTGATATGAAATCTTGAAATAAAGACAAACTGAAAAGGTATCAGTTTTGGAGTAAACAATGTAAATATCAGAGAGCACAAGGACCATTTCTCTAATTTACTCAAAATTACAAAAAGGGTCCTTATGCTTTCTGAATTTTACAGTGTTTAATCTAAACTGGAACCTTTTTCAGTTTTGGTTCTTATTTCAAGATTTCATATCATTTTGGCCCCTGTAGCCTTAAAATAAGAACCAAATCGATATGAAACCTTGAATTAAAGACCAAAATCGATACAAAACGTTGAAATAATGACCAATATCAGAAATACCCAGGGACCAAAATCAATTTGAAATCTTAAAATAAGGACCAAAATTGAAAAAGTTTTAATTTTGGACTGAACATGGTAAAAAACCAAAAGCACAGGGACGACGGACCATTTTGTAATTTACTCAAAATTAAAAAAGTGAATAATATATTTTTTGCACCATGGTGTTAAAGCTACAAGAAACCAACCTCGTGTACACCGTTTGAATTTAAAGTTGCAGATTTATTAGCAACTTCCAAAGCAACCTTGAGTTCCTTTTTCTCCATCTATGAAAGAAAATCAAAATGTATAAAGATAATGAGAATTAATAAAAGAAATATATATTATTGTCCTTTTATTAAAGAAATTTTTTTACCTTGAGATCAATGTTCTCTTTTTCCAGGGCTGCCACTGTTCTTTTAAGACGCTCAGTAGCATCATTTGCTTCTGTGTTTTCCTTTTTGTTTAATTCCATCTGCAAATGTCTTATTTCAGATACTTTTCTGCTCAGCTCATCTCTTATTTTATTCATCTCTGTGAGCATCTACAAAAAGAAAACAAAAGTCATTTTGGAATCTTTCACATGTTTAGTTGGCAGGAAATGGAATGGAGTTCAATTTCATTACTTTGTAATGAGAAATGAGGGAATTGTTCTTTAATGATTTGTTTGTATACTATTGTTTGTTTTATATAAATAAATACATATAAAACTTACATTTTCTTTATCCGCCTTTAAGCTATTCTGTTCATCCTGGAAAGATCTGTTCAACTTCTGTTCCTCTAGAAATGAATTATGGCATCAGACAATATCCAATTAAGGAAAGAGCAAATGTCAGAAAAGCACAGCCTATTGATATAATGTGTGTGCCTATTAATTAAAAAACTTAGTCAAAATTCAATTCCATTCCACCATAGACAAGAATACCTTGGAATCTGAAGTGCAAACTTGCCAGCTTTCCACGTTCTTTATCAAGTTCCTCTTGTAATCCTTTTATTTTTTGGTCATGTGTTAACTGAAGTCTTGCAAGAGATTTGTTTTTCTCCTCCAGCAAATCAGATAGCTCCTAGAAGTTATTCATATATCTGTCGTTAAATTCATTCATTCATTATGTACTTACTACCTGAAACTAAAAGATGCATACTTTATTTTATCAACACAAGTGTATGAGCATTTATTTGTTACCTTTTCATTGCCTTCACTGCTTGAATTCCCATTCTTATTCGAGTGTGAAACTCCATTTCCTGATGCATCTTCTTTTAATATCACACCATTTTGCACCACCTTCTTTCCAAAAGAACGGTTTTTCTGCTGTCATTTAAGCAAGTTAAAAATTCCCCTTAAAAGTAAAAGGTTAAATCAGGAAAATGAAGAAAAAAAGAATGGGTGTGCAAAAAAATTGAAACCAAAACAAAAAACAGAAGAACTGATGGTCTGGTTTTTGATTTCTAGAAAAAAAAATCGATTTTTTTTAGTATTAAACCCGGAAAAAGGACCAAATGCCGTTTCATGCATAAGTTTAATTGATTAAGCATTTTTAAATTATAATAATGAACATGCCTTTACGTTTCCACTGAAAATTAAAAAAATGAAAATGCCTTTACGTCGTCTTGTATTACTTTTTTGTAAGCTACTTGTTTCATTTTTTAGTTATATCAACATGGCTAACAAAAGATTAATTAAAAAAACAACTGAAAATCCAAACATAATTGGGTTTTTCAAAGTCAAAACTAGAGCTGGCAATTGGTCAGGTTCTGTTCAGGTTTATATAAATAGGTTGAAAATTTCCCAACCCAATCTTTTTTAATAAATAAACAAAAATTCAAATTTCAAGCTTCACATAAAAGAACAAAAATGTTTAGACTTGGTTAAATATGTTACAAACTTAAACAATTGTTCAAAGTTCAAAGAAAAACAACTAAAAATTAGTTATCCATACAAAATGAAAACAAATATGCAGGATGATTTCATGTCAAATATTTCAACCCTAACCCAGGATTCATCAAGTTGACCCGTTTAATAAAAGGGTTAAAAATCTCAAACAAACTCCTATGGGTTCGGGTTGTAAAGTTGATTAAACGCGCAGTTGTGAATACTAAAAAGCCCATATGCAAATAATAGATAAATGTATCACTTAACATATTAAAGAAAGCAAAGAAGTAAATAACTATAATTCATAAAGTTACCTTGGACCCTTTTGGGCTATTTGCTGAAGACTTCAAACTCTCGCTTCTATATGCATCAAGGTTTTTCTTAAACAAACTTTTTTCATCATTCAATCGAGAAATACGATCCTGTGAATGGAACATCGATCACTTTTACAAGTCTCTAAAAGTAACAAATATTTAACACTATCCACCATATTTTTCCAAATATTTAAAGAGGCTAATAATGATTGGAACTTGAATACAGGAAGCGAGATAGTTTCAAACTAGCAACAAAATGAACTTGACACTTGCCTATTTTTGTATTATCTTGTTCATTTACAGATTGAGCAGAACATATCATATGTATTATCTTGTTACATTCCTAGACTATCATAGAAGATTTGGCTGATAATATATTGCATTAATAGTACATACAGAGAGCCACCATTCTTTGCAATATTTAGTCATGGGTTACATTACACAATACACACTACAGAAGTAATAAGCTGGACCATACCTTTTTTAATGTAAGGGTAGTTTGGAAATAACAAGTCCAAAAAACAAAATAGTACCTCTCTTTCTTTTAGTAAAGCTGCATAATTAACTGATAGTGCCTTGATCTGTGCCTCAGATTCCTGAAGCCTCTTGATCTCTGCTTTGTATTGTTCAATCTGCAAATACAAAATGATTTAAGCAAAAAATGCACGTCTGCTCAAGAAAATCAATTTTTCAGAAAAGTGACACAGAATGCCCAACCATGAGCAGAAATTCAGGAAATTATAGCTTATAGCATTTAACAACATTCAAGGCATCTGTGGATTCTATTTTACAACATTCACGTGAACTCATGAAGCCATAGCATTTACAATGGATTCAACACTTGTGACAGTCCAAATCACTAGCAATATATCTGGCAAGAAATTTCATCTGCTAGATCCAAACTACCATTATAGAACTAATATTCCCATAAACTGCCACATGGAGTGGATTGTTCAATTATTGCTACTATGCTGTTATTCTGCCATGGATTTAAGAAAATACAAACTACAAATTTAGGGTGTAAGCTCATTCAGAAGCATTATATCTACCTGGCACCTGCAACGGATTCTAAGGCGATATAGAATATCTTTTAAACAAAAAGGCCATCCTAAAACATGCTTTCTAGCACTTATTTAAACATTCAAATTGAAATAATGCATTATCAAGTAACAAAACAAGCTAAAGGCAACAAAATGCACATGGTATTCAAGCAAGGAGATTTTCATAATGCACCAACCCTCAGGATTTTTGGTTTGCTCTATCCAAGTTTCTCCTAAATGACGATGTCTTTAGAATGCCCTCCGTTTCTGAGCACATCAACTAGATTTACTGTAACCTCACTCACAAGCGTAATCGAAGTTCACCAGGATGTAGATACCTAACCCTCTCAGAAACCCTAACTACGTGAATTCAGAAACAGAAGTTGTAGTAAATCAATTCAAACAGAAATAACCCGTAACCAACTCAGAGTTAGCTAAACCAACAAAACTCGCACACCATACAATTTGACACACAACAACGTTTTATTGCAATCACCTCTGAATTAGAAGTCGAATCTAGACCATTGGCGATGGGGGAAAAGTTACGACTATGATTGAGAGAAACTCTCCGATCAGAAAACGAAGAGTTTCTAGAATTAGGGATCTCCGATAGCTTCTCATAATCATCGGCTTCATCCTCATCGTCATCATCGTGAACATCCAAGGCGATTTTATTTAGGTTTTCTTTCAAATTCGCAAGATTCGTGCTCCACATCGTATCTCCTCCGATCAAACGAGATCAAAAACCGAACAATGATCAAACCTTATTAGTGAAGATTTCCAAACGAGAAATTCGAGCAAAATTGTCGGTGAGATTAAGCAAGATTCGTGTGTAAATGTTTTTGATACAGAGGTCGGATTTCGGCTATCAAACGAACGTTCGGTAGATCTGATAAATGGGAAACGTAACAGTCTTTACTCCGATGAATAACAACATTAAGGTAAGTAATGAGGAATTTTATTTTATTTTTTAAGAAAAAAAAAAAAAAAAAATATATATATATATATATATATATATATATATATATATATATATATACATATATATTAAAATTAGCTTATCTGTGGTGGGAATAAGCAATAAGCAAGGGGATGCTTATTAAAATTAGCTTATTTAGCTTATTCCTAACACAATAAGCTGATTTTTAAGGATTTTATCCAAACACTTAAACTTAGCTTATTGTGGTGGGAATAATCAATAAACAATAAGCACCCTCTTTTTTTCCTATCCAAACACCCCCTAAATAGTCATTGTATTTTGTTCGGTCTCTAACTGAGTTTTTGTTGAAAATGGTCTCTCTGTTTATTTTGTTTCATGACCAGTCCTTAGTAGTTTTATTAATAGTTTTATTTTATTTCATATATGATCTAAAATTACTATTTTGTTCTTATATAAACGGTGTTGTAGAATTTTTGAAATATACAGTACACAATTACAAGATTTCTAGGAATATCGATCTTCTAGATACAAAAAAATATATAATAATTCCATATCCATGTATTAAGTGTGTAAACCACATATCTCATTCGGTGGGTGTGGTAGATGCTCACATATTCAACAGTGGAGTTAATCAAACCTACACGAACTGGACCAAAATTGGAGAAAAAGAGGAACCACCAAGTAATTATGTTTATGAAGAGGATTTTGCCATGGACACATCATACGTTGTTGAATCCACGGACTTCACAAGAGAAATGCCAACATATGTTGCAGAAACAGTGGAGATGGTTGAAGCTACAGAAGAAATTTTCATTGGGGACCTTGACAAGTTTAGAGAACTGATAGGAGATGTTGAGAAGCCCCTATATAAAGGGTGTCCTAACTTCACAAAGTTATCTGCAATCATACAGCTACTCAACTTGAAGAGTAAGTATGGAGTATCAGATAAGTACTTTACAAAATTATTAGTTTTGATCAAAAATATGTTACCAGAAGGAAACGAAATGTACAGTAGTACATATGAGGTCAAGAAAGCATTCAAAGCAATGAGTTCAAGGTATACAAAGATACATGCATGTGTCAACAACTATATACTTTACAGGAGCGAATACGAAGACACGACAATATGTCTCACTTGTGGTTAATCAAGATGGAAGGTGGATGAAGAAAAAAATAAAATTTACGAGAATATTCCTGCAAGAGTCTTGTGGTACTTTCCAATTATTCTACGAATGAAACGACTGTTTCATTCAAAGACTATTGCAAAAGATTTAACATGGCACACAACCGATAAAAAGGTGGATATCGGTGTTTTACGTTACCCAACAAATTCACCAACATGGGCTGTCATAGATGAGAAATTTCCTGACTTTGCTAATGAACCAAGAAATTTGTGGCTAGGCATTTCGGATGACGGGGTCGATGTGAATAGAGGAAATAGGAATTATAGTGTATAGCCTATGTTAACTATCATTTACAGCCTTCCACCATGGTTGTGTATGAAGATAAAGTTTATCGTGCTTTCGTTATTGATATCGGGAATACCAGGAAACGATATTGATGTGTTCTTATCACCTTTGGTTGATGATCTACATATATTATATGATAACTGATTCGAAACATATGATGCATATGCACGAGAAAAGTTTAATCTACGTGCAATTGTGTTATGGATGAATATTGATTACCCTGCTCTTGGTACATTATGTGGTTGTCCTTACAGCGAGTTCAAGTAACATCCCAATGATGTGGTAATTTCGATTTTAACCTTATACATGAAGAATACTGCATTTTAGCCCATGTGCATGAGGAGGATTGCAAATTGGCCCATAGTGGTATTTTGGTAATTTTGGCCAAAGGCTTAGTATGTTGGGCATACGCCTCATACGCAAGGCGTACATGTGCGGGGCCTTGTACGTTGGTCGTACATCGTGTATGCAGGGCGTACGTACGAGGGTTTCAAACCCTAAAATTTAGGGTTTGGACCCTATTTAAACATCTTTATGGCCCCAAGACCTTCACCCTCATCAACCTCCATTTGAAAATCGTCCCTCTAGCTAACCCTAAGTGAGAAGAGTGTATTTTGAGCTCATTTCTGTGTTTTTGATGGTGTTCTTGAAGAAGAAGAAGAAGAAGAAGGTGGTAGAAGGACTTTGGAGCTTGAAGGAAGTTTGTGTAACGACACAATTTTTTAAAAGAATTTTTTCATTTTTGATTAACCAAAATACATTTCCATAAACCTTAAATTCCAAATACGATTGTTTTCAAAGCTCATATCAATTACAATTTTATGTCAAAACATCAGAGTGTCCCATAAAATGTCTGAGAGAGTGCACGTCGCGCCATCAAGTCTTGCCCTTGCCCTTGGGCTCAGAAGTACCTGAAACAAATCCACAAACTGTAAGTTAATGCTTAGTGAGTTCCCCAGAGCATACCGCACATACAATCCACATAACACATATCATATTAGCCATAAAAGCTACACATATCACATAAGCCATGCATACAACAAATAAGGATGTCGTGGGCTCCTCCCAAGGTCTTACTCCAGGATGCCATGGGCTCCCCCACATGGTCTTATACCTAAGTGTCATGGGCTCCTCCCATGGTCTTTAACTGGAAAGCCATGGGCTCCCCCACATGGTCTTACACCCAGGTGTCATGGGCTCCCCTCATGGTCTTTACCTGAAAATCCATGGGCTCCCCCACATGGTCTTACATTCAAGTGTCATGGGCTCCCCCCATGGTCTTCCCTGCAAGTAACACATACATATAGCAAAGCACTAACATAACTAACTATCATAACACGTATCTCTACAATTAACAAGTATGCCACATATCACACAGAATGGGTCGGCCTTGGTGCCTTCGACCCATTGGTATGGTGAGGAGACTCACCTCTCATGAATGTTGTGCTGACAAGATAAGATCCAAAAAAGTCCCAACGCGTAGCTCCAACTCAACTTCATATAAGCATCATAAGATTAACTCGTCATAATCCCTATAATTACCCTCAAAGTCAACTCTGGTCAACCCTGGTCAAAGTCAAGGTCAACTGTCCATGTTGACCCCAACTCGTCGAGTGCATCTAGCAACTCGTCGAGTTCATACGGAGTCCAAAGAACATGAACAAACCCTAGCCAACTCGTCGAGTTGTTTCATCAACTCGACGAGTTCGCTTGCTATCAGAAGACGGGGAAACCCAATCCGACTCGTCGAGTCACTAGGGCAACTCGTCGAGTACCCCTCCCTGTTTGCTTATTATGATGATTCACCGAATGCAGGGACTCTGAAACCCTAAGGTGTCCAGAGGGATAAAGTTTCCAACTTTACCCTTTATAACCACTCCAAATGCTCTAAGGTCCTTATCCAATGTTGGAAAGCTCAAAAGTCTTGCCATGCATTCCCAAAACTTTAGGGATCTGGAATCCCTCCTTTCTAGAGGAGTTTCTAGTCCTCAAAACGTTCCAAAGATGGAGGCTTTATGGACATGCATGTCCAATGCATGTCTTTAGTTCAAAATGGCAAAAAAGGGGAAATATGCTCTAAAAAATCTTGCCTGGCATCCTTGCTTGACCAAAAGCTAGATCTAGCCCACCTTGGGACTATTTTGCCCTGTAGATCCATAAAGTTGCAAACTCTATGAACCCCATGCATGCAATCAATAGGAATGATAGAAAATCAAGAGTAAACTCAAGATCTAGCCATATTCTAAGATAAAAATCGAATCTTGAAGACTTACCACAGTCCACAAGATGGTCAAGTTCAAGAATGAGGGTTTGGTTTGCCGAATCTTCTTCTTCTTCTTCTTACTATCTCCTTCTTTTTAAGCTCCACAAGACACTCTAGATCACAAAATGAAAGAGAATAGGGATTAGGGTTTAGCACATATGTTCTTAGGGTTTGGAGGCTGATGGAAGGTCAGCCTCAAGGTCCTTAAGGAGATTATATAGGGTGCAAACCCTAAAATTAGGGTTTTACCTTTACAGTGCCTACTCGTCGAGTTGGCCTTTTAACTCGTCGAGTAGGGCCTACATCCCGCGTCCTCGAAATGTACTCTACTCGACGAGTTGGGGCTCCCTACTTGTCGAATCCCAACATCAAAACCCTAAACTTAGAAAATCAAATAATACATGGGACATGTGTTACAAATCTCCCCCACTTGAACTATACTTCGTCCTCGAAGTCTGCCGACCCAAATAAGCTCAGGCAGTGGTCTCTCATCTCATCTTCTAGCTAACATGTCCATTCGGAGCCTCTTCGGTGTTGCCATTACACCTTTACCAGCTTCACTTCTGTCACACCCCGCTAAAGCGGAAACACAAGGCATGGCAGTACAAAGGGTTTCATCGCAAAAGTTAAAAGACAACACCAACCATAGTATTAAAAATCATTACAAATTCATAATGGGTTTGAACAACTTTTAAAAGAAATTACAATGTAAATTGAAATACAACACATGCGAATGCTCCTAAAAGTGAAGTGTCCCTAAGTGCCACTTACTCGATGATTCCTGAAAAAGCATGTAAAACGAGCGTCAACTATAAAAATAGTTGGTGAGTACTCACAAGTTTAAAAATAATATTGGTTTCATGAATCGAAATCAAATTTTGATATAAGTTTCCATAGATAAAATATATTGCTAAAATGAGTAAATAAGTTTGTGTAAACAAAGTTCGTTGTCATCATGAGAAATAAAGTATGTTGCCCAAAAGAGATGCAACGTTCATATCCTCATGGGAAATAAAGTTTGTTACTAAAATGAGTAATCAAGTTTCATTGCTACAAGGAGCAAACAAGTTTGTTACTATAAGAAGCAACCAATTTTGTTGCTAAAACAAGTAAATAAGTATTTAGTAACAAAAGTTCGTTGTTATAATGAGATACAAAGTTTATTGCTATAATAAGAAACAAAGTTGATTGCTATAATTGATAAACGAGTTTATTGCTATAATAAATAACAAGTTTATTGCTATAACGAGAAAC